AGATATGAAAATAAAATGTTTAATGAATTTCTAACATCTATAACTACAAAATAATTTTAACATTTTCCAGATTTTTACGAGTTTTGACCAAATCCTAACTTCAAGTGCTCATATAAAATTATTGTGGATTTACTATTTTACTCTCAACTTTTAACACATATACATAACAATGACTTACTCCATGACCTGGTACACTCCACACCTACTGTAGGTACAGTATAGAGCGGTTATCTATACTTCCCCTTTTTTAGTTGTAAAAATGATTTGAGATAATATTGTATAAAACATATATTACAATTTTCAAACCCTGATATTATAATATAATAATTTACGATCCACGAAAGGTTTTTAATTTTATAGGCATATGGGGTCCATGCGGTCTTTACACTTTATGGTCGTTTTACTATGGGGGGATTAATTTTAATTAACTGCCTTTGGTCCAATAAATGTGGACGAATAAAATAGTTTTATACTTGTATATAATATATATATATATATAACCAATAAAATAGGACGAGTTCATCACCAACATCATAAGTTTTATTACATCGATAGGCTATGGCACTAGGCCACTATAGTATTTACATAGTACAATAGTATATACAAATTTAACAAATATAAAATCCATATTTAATATACCTATTATAAATAAGAAAGTCATTCTGTCTGTCTGTTACGTTTTCATGCCTAAACCGCTGAACCAATTTTGATGAATTTAGGTACTTATAGAAATAAATGGGACTTGAAAAAAAAATAGTCTACTTTTTGTCACCAAAATATAACTTGAAGGGGATGAAATAGGAGAGAAATATGGAAATGTAATAGTTTTTGTTTATTTAAATGATTGCCATTGGTTACAAATTATAAAAATAATAATAATAAAAGAAATTAGTAGGAATTATCATTTTTTTTTTTGAAAGTGATATTCCTAATTTACAAACATTATTTCTCCGTCGTCGTGCCGTGGGTAAAAAGGTATACGAGTATATAAGGTATAATGAATATATAGCTTCAAGTAGGTAACCTGCAGGTGGTGCTTTGAATAAACTCACTGGTTTGTGCTTTTTTTTTTTAAATTTCTTTACATTATTTTTTAAATGTCTAACTATTTTGTCTTGATATTTAAATTATTTGATTTGATATTATGAATACACTAAACCAGATGGTTTAATTACATGAAAATCACTTTAGGTGATTATATAATATCTATAGTTCAACAGAAGACGATTGAATAAATGGCTTTAGATTTTAACCCACCTAAAAACCACCGGACAAGCCATGGCACATTGGATCCAATACCCGCTGTTGGTTGGGTTAAGTAAAAAGTCAAACTTAGTATAACTTCGAAACTTTAGAGTTAGAAATTATATACTTACGTACGCATCTCGCGTTGTCTACCTAATAACATAAATATATAATGCTTGCATAATCAAATAACCTCAGTGAGTCCCACGGGACCTTTATTTGGCACGGGCAAACGCCGAGCGGAATCGCTTGTATTGAATATACTATAGTACGCTATACCTGTTAGTATAATATACGTATATAGTACATTAGTACCTATACCTAACTAATATAAGTTAATGTAAGTTATGCCGAACGAAAATCTTAAACAAAATTTGGTTATAAACTTATAACTGGCATCTGCAAAATAAATTCCTATGTGTCTTACATATCATATTATGTATAAGTGTACAACCGTAATAGGATTACCTACCTATTCAGAAATAATGTATACAACTACATTTGTGTATTTGTGTTTATAGTTGTTATACTTGTTTAATAATATTGTTATAATAGTTACTTTAGGTTTAGTTAGGTACATAAGTTACGTTACAACTCGTTAGGGGAAGTTAAATTTTTTTATTTCACTTCAAAATGTTTTGTTTATTTAGATTTCAGAAACACAATTAATATACCTTTATGTACCTAAATAATATAGATATATACCTATGCTTATAGCTATATCTAAATGGGTACCTACTGGCTACTACCTATAAATATTGGATATTTTTAGTTATGAATTTAAGATGCAAATAGGCAATTAATATTGTAATTTTATAAGCGCACAACTAATCAGATTCAACCTTTCAAAAAGCTGTTATTGCTTAATTCGTGAACAATTATTTTACAAAGCTCTTACGGAATACATTTAAAAATGCACAAACTTTACAAACAAACATTTTTTGTTTCCCAATCGTGTACATTTTTATTTATTTACCTGAGTATTAACAACTATTTCACAGGTTAAATTTAATATTTTATAACATATAACTTGATAATTCTCACGGTAATTCTTATTAGTTACTCTATGATGGCGGTAACTCAAAACATATTTTAATTATCAAAAAACTGTAAAAATCACAGTCGTCGGTCTCTAAGGTTGATGAACGATAAAACAATAGATGCACTTATAGCCTATAGGTACGTGATAATAACTAATAAGTAATAGGTAATAACCAATATTAATTATTTGTTACACGGTTCTAACTTGTAGATGATTGAAAAATGTCATTTAACAATAAATAATAATACAGAATACGGATTTCGTAATTTAAAAAAAAGTATACGATTTGCATACGTGTACCTATAGTTATATTCTTTCAGGGTATACGCTTATACGCTAGGTAATTCACCAAATGGTAAATGGTTATACTATATATATATATATGGGTATTACTTTATGACGTATGTGTACTATGTATTTATGTATATATAACTATATAAGTTATGTTACAATATAAGTAACCTATATTTTAATAATAATACACTTCAATACCTAAGACAGAAATATACTCGATTCTCGGTACCTAACTCATATTTCAATGGGTATAAAATTAATTCGAGTACTTTTTAAATCATATAACATTGAGTTGTACTTATACATGGTTAGGTATATACAGCATTGAGTGTGGGGTTTATTAGGGACAACAAAAAATTGTGATACTAATAGTCGTTATACAGAATCTAACTGCAGAATAAACCCGTTTACCTATAATACATTTCTATATAAAATGTAATGATCCGGAAGTATATATGATGTGACAATAGAATATGATCCATTTTTTTAATGATGGTTAAAAAACAAAACTTAAAATTAATTTAAACAATAGTCATGTACATTATAGGTATATTATAATATATTATAAGACAAAATGTTAAATAACGTTTAGATTTTAACAAAACATCTATCCTTTTGTATGTAAGAAAATATTAATTAGAAAAATTATAAATATCTAAATCCAAAAATATTGAATTTAAATCAAAATATAATAATATCGCTCAACAATAATAGTTGATCAATATAAATATTTATAACTTTTTAACGGCTTAATATTCTGAGAAATCAAATTTTTTTGGTAATCAAAGATATATGAAGAATTTTAGAAGTTCTGTAAAATTATTTTATTAATGTTCATTGTTTGCGCGTAAACCGACCAGCTTATTAAAATAGCACTTCCAAAGTTTCTACAACAATAGGTGAATAGGTTGAACAATAAAAAAATCTTAAATGTCTATTGTGTTTGTATCACACATTGAAGTAAATTTGTACTACTTAATACTTAGGACCAATTTAATTACCTAGTATTATTTTTCAATACATCTGCTCACATAGCAGAACTTTAAGTAAGTACAAATTTCAAAACAGATTTGATTGTACACATTACCTATACATTTGCTTACATGTTAAACACTAAATTAATGAACTAATACTGCATTTAATGTAGAACGTATATTATACCTATCATTATGTATGCGTGTTCTGGAAATAAATACTTAGAAAGCAACTAAAATAATATCATCATGATTATTATTAATATATTTTTAATTTCATTCAAGTAAACTATAAAAATTAGCTTTATTAATATCGTACTAACTTTTTTTAGTACAATGCATTTTTTGAGAGGGTTAGCGGAGTCTTATTCGTTACGAAGGTTTATATTTTTTAGTTGTACCTACGCATTATCAGAGTAACTAAGGAAATGCAAAACGGTCTTAAGCACCTCCAAGTTTCAATTTAGCACCTCTTGTTTTTTAGGCCTATACGTCTAACTGTTATTAGGTACTATTGTAAAATACCATACATTTTATGTTTTTAAATTACAAAATATTTACATAAGTCATAATATTAGTTCATTATAAATTATATCGATGTACGTGGTAGACTGTGTGTTACTATTTACTGTAAACCCTCATAAGTTTTATATTAATTATTAACGTTTTATCGTACAAATCTTAATAGATTATTAATATAAACAGTACCTACATATTAAACATAGGTAAGTATAATTTGTATTTTTACCATTAATATGAATAAGTATGTTAAAATGTGTACAAAAAGTTTTTAATTATCAATTATTGGATGAAAAAATCTTTAACTGGTTATCCATAATATTATAATGTTAGTAGTAGAGGTGTAGCCGCGGCATCTTATGTTGGTCTGTTTCAGCATCACTTAGTCCGTTAGTCGGCAGGGACATCTTTGGTTCTAACGACGAATTAACTTTTAATTAAGTATAGGGTAAATTTTACATCCAAACATGAAACAAGCTAAGCTATAATATTGTGCTGGGAGGGCAGTTCTTAAAAATATAAATAAGAGAACAATTTAATAGAATAAAATATGGTGCAGCATAAATATAAATAGTATTTAGAGACAGTTATAGCCGTTATAGGAATAACATATAATAATAACAGATAATATGTGCATATTATCTGCCAAGACGCGGAAAGAAATCAAATATCATATCAATACTGTTGTAACTTGTAACAATTAATATTACACACTATCCTAGGTATATTATAGGACCGGATTTTAGATATTTGTGATGCATAACTGCATCTGCATAAGGTTTATTTCATAGAGTAAGAATGGTATTTTAAGTCTAATTGATAAGATACTCAGTTTTTTTTATCATTTTCAATCTTACTGTTTTACTTTGGCGACACTGACGTTTGAAAATATTATTGTTTAGATGCTTAGTGTGATAGTGAATTATTGTGATAAGTAGTTAATTAGTTCATTTTGGAATCGTGGTCTAGCCGGTTAATATTTAACAAGTATTTATTATTTATCGGTATTCGATTTTCCTTTTCGACATTAAAAAGTAACCTAACAGTATGGCTAAACATCATCCTGACTTGATATTCTGTCGTAAGCAACCCGGTGTTGGTAAGTGTAGTGTATAGTATTTATAATAATTGTCATATCTTTAGTCTACTAGTACCATAATATATTATAATTCTTTGTCAATTTATCACATTTTACCTTCTGTAACAGCTATAGGACGATTATGTGAAAAATGTGATGGTAAATGTGTAATCTGTGACTCTTATGTCAGGCCATGTACATTGGTGCGCATATGCGATGAATGCAATTATGGTTCATACCAGGGTAGATGTGTTATATGTGGGGGACCTGGAGTATCGGATGCATACTATTGTAAGGAATGTACAGTTCAAGAAAAAGATGTAAGTTATTTTTCAGATTGTATCGCAAATTTTGTAAATAATTCAAGTTCGTAACATTTCTTTTATTTCAGAGAGATGGATGCCCAAAAATTGTAAATTTGGGAAGTTCAAAAACAGATTTATTTTACGAACGGAAAAAATATGGGTTCAAACGAAGATAGAACTACTGAGTTTTCATTTGTATTTTTAATAATGAATGCAATTATTTTAGATTAGCTCTTAAAATAATTTAAAAATGAATTTCATGTTTTTTTTTTTGACTCCAGTTCAAATTAATATAAATATTAAAATATTAATAATAATATAATAGTAATGTATATGTATATATTATTTTTATTTTTATTATTATTTAATATTAATTTTTATTTACTGATTAAAATTTAAAGTTATAAGCAAAATTACTCAAAAAAATTATAATTTCAAAATATTTCATCAATATAGCATTGTATTCTAAATCATCACATAGTATTATATTTGTTTACATCTATTTCTGTGCATAATAACAGTTTAACGAATACTCATCAAATAGTGGATCTTTTTTTACCACTCCATACCAATAACTAATTTCGATTAATAAAACCAATATACTCAAAATATAACCAGCAACCAAAACAACAAATGCCCCATAAAGTTTTTTTAAGTCCATAAGTGCTTTAACTTCTTCAATTTGTTGTGGTTCTTCAAGTATTACTGTGTCCAACATAACATCATTTAACCATTTTTTCACTAACCCAGCTTCTATAACTCTTCTCAAGAATCTGTCAACTGCTGGTTTTAATGGAGAATTTTTTTGTAGTCCTAATGATATTGGCATATTTATAATACATTTTGACATTATATGTAGTGTAAAATCTCCATTCCTTGTACCATTCAGTGTACCTTTAATAATGTAATTGAAAAAATATTAACAATAAATTTAAGTGCAATTCTATAAACTAGTATTAATATTATACATTATACAGTTAATGCACTAAATGTAAATTTCAGCCTTCAGTAATTACTAATTTGTGTTGGGACTAAACTTAACAAAAGTTAAGCCATAATATGATATTTTGTTTTATATTACAATTCAATTTTTCATTTTAAGCTATATTGTAAATAGAGCAATTGTAAATTATATTATTGATTATTGATATGTTTTTTAATTTTGTAACAATGTTTATACTCTATCCAGGATCAGAATGCCCAAATTCGAGGTTACATACAAATATACAATACTCTATTCCACAAGAGAACATGACAATTCTGCGCATGTAGAATGACTAATGAACCGACATGTTCTCTTGTAGAATAGAGTATAATAACTGGCTTCTGACAGTTATCTTAGGTAAGATGAACAAATACTGTATAATATAAACTATTATATTGGCATTTGCTCATAGTCTATACCAGAGATGGTGAACCTATGACACGCACACACTATTTTAGTGACACACACGAATGTGTAAAAGTTTGATAATATTAAAGTTTTTGAAAAAAAAGATTGAAGGGTTATCGAACTAGTTGTTCACGCATGGAAAACAAAATCCAACCAACATTTTTATTTGACACTCATATTTGGTACAAAAAGGTTCGCCATCCCTGGTCTATATGATTACCATAGAATAAAGATAATTACTTGTGGCTCAGTGAACAGTGAAAATGAAAAAAAATTCTGTGAACATTTAGGCATTCTTATGCTGAATAGAGTACAGGAAACATTTTCAGATTGTTATTGAAAAATTGAAAGAAACACATAAATCATTTAAAACTATAGTAAGGTTTTTAATAATTTTCAACCTATTTTATATCAAATTATCATAATTTTTGAATACCATTAATGAGCTGGACATTTTTTTCATATGTTTTGGTATTTTGCATCACTTTTACATATCTCAAAAAGTGTATATTATCATAGTATGCAAATTGTCCTTTAGATACCAAATCAATAGCTTCATCAACTTCATAAACTTCACGAAACTTTTGACCAACTCTTTGTCCAGTTTTATCTAATGAAGTCATGAAAAATTCTTTTGATTGCTCTCCCCATCCTCCACAATTAATGTTACTATCAGCAAGAGCATCCAATGTATCAATTGTAACCCTGTTAGATTCATTAACTTGTAAATATATATATATATAATTATCAGTAGCGTATCTAGGTTTTTTAAGGGGGGGGGGTGTCACCAATTTATATATAAAATATAGTTAAGGTTATGAAAAAACAATCAAGACATTCATATTATACAATTATTGTATAAAAAAAAGAATAAAAACTCCCTTTGAATATGTCACTTGTAATAATTAATGAGTATTATCAAAATAATTGTATTACCTTGTATCTGGATTAGCTAGGATTGCAGTCATACTAGCCTTGTAAGCAACTACAACTAATAAACAGTACATCCACCACCACCCTGTTAAAATTCTTATGGCCCATCCACTGGGTACTTTTGGTAATGACACAGCTACTAACATCCCATAAGTGTATAAAATACTATTCCCTATGTCCTCAAACAAGTATAATCCAATTACATCTTTGTTTGTGAGTTGATTCAATTTTTTATTTTCTGTGTGGTTGTTGATACATTTTTGTTGTTTGATTATTTTTGGTTTTTCAAATTTATTTTTTAAAATATCTATAATATTTTTTTTAATTGCTTTATTTTCTGTTAATAGTTCAGGTTTCTTTTCTAATATTTTTGTCTTCAGAGTATCGCATTGTATCATTTTAATTGAATTTTCACTATCTTCAATATGTTTATGAGCTGTTGCAAGGGCATAAAACAAAAAACCTCCAATAAGCAGTGTAATAAGTACACCAACCCACATATTTAATCTAAAATAGGAATTATGTTTAAATATTAATTTATTAACATAATTTAGTATTTTTACTTGAAAGGTAGAATCAATGTTTTCCACGAGTTATCAGTTTTTGATTCAAATGTTAAGAATGTTAGACACTCTGTATTGTAAGGAATGGATAGATCTAAAATATTTAGATGGTATGGTGTGTAATGTAAATTACCCAGTGCCAAATCAGCACGAGCAGACCATACTTCTCCTAACAATCCTGATATTGTTCCATTCATTTGCTTTTTACCCCATTGTTCAGTACGCCAATTGATTGGTTCATAAATAAGTGGAATGAAATTCATTGCACTTCCGAGTGATTTAAGAACCTAAATCAACACAACTTAAATATTATTTTAGGACTAATGCATTTTTATAATGATACCTTATTACCTCAATTTCTAAACCCTTCTTATAGCCAGAATTTTCTTCATTTTCATTTAATAATGAACTTTTTATTGCAGATGGAATATAATTAAAAGTAACCACTTTAAGTAAATTTCCTTGCAGATCTGAAACTTTGTCTGTGTATAAATCTGTTTTTTTTTGAAAATTTCTTTTATTCCATATGTCTAGTCTCAGTGTAACCAATGCCCCTTTGATTGGAGCAGGATATGGAACAGTAGATAATTCATACATTTCCTTAAGACGATATTTTCTAATAAATACAACATTTATAATTTTTGTCCATATAGTATGATGTTGCTTTATAAAAAGTCTTCGATCATGTAATAACATAAATTTTGTTCTAGAATCCAACATTCTATGCCTGAAAATTGTATAATGTTAGTTCATTTTTCATCAAATTGTTGTACTTAAATTGTATATAGGTAATCATTAAAATATCATGTGCTATAGGATTATTTATTTATTTATATTAAATACGGGGCGAGCCCAATTACATTGTTTTGTATTAAATTATAATTAGTAAAAAAATTACAAACATTTAAGAATGAACGGACAATAATTACACTAAGTATTAAGGAATTGTGGGTCCTCATTGGACAGTTTCATCATATGTACAATAGGACGATTAGATAAGTAATAACAGCAACTAAGAGGAATGCAGAAGGGGAAAGAGTATCTGGAACAAAAAGTAGGAACTCTCAATTTAACTTTAGATTGGAGGGCAGAGGCATCAACTTCGCCATTAATAAGTTTAGAAAGAAACGTTAGATTTCTCTGTTTCCTCCTATCACATAGGGTAGACAAATGGTTTAAGTATTGTTTGAATAATATCCCCTAATCTACTAAAATACATCATATACCTAATATTTATTTTTTTGTATGCAACGTCCTCAGAGATTGACTTTTTTCATATTGTTTCTTCTTAAATTTAAATTTTTTGGATTAACACAGGCCACAGCTTTCATTTTTATAATAATAATAATTATTATTTTTTGTTTAATTCCTAGTTATTCATTTATTAGTATGAATTTTTTTAATTAGAAAATTTAAAAATATTTTCTGTTGCATATAATTACCCATAAAAAAAAGTATTGCTGTCAAATACAATAATAATTTCAATAAACATTTGATAAAATAACATATCAAGATATTCGGTGGCTGGTGAGTTTTAAACACCTTATTGTACAATGAACAATTGTATTAATACTATCATATTTTTTGTATATTGTTACAAATACCTAGGTACCTACTTAGAGTTAGGCTTTGGTATCTAATTACTACAATGGGTACCTACTTCAATATTATCAGCAGAATACCTATTACCTAATTGGCTACTAATAATAATTACCTATTATGTATTAATATATAATTATAACTTCTAAATTACATTTTTAGACTATCATTAAATCATTTACTTATCGCTAAATTTTAGTAATCTCATTGTTTGGTCAGCATTTAAGATAAATATTATATTCATGTTGCATCCTTCTTTTCTAACATGATTTAAAATTTGCCAGGTTTGAAAATTCGGAGACATGAGATCCTCTGAGTCATCAATTAATGTCTGTAAATTATTTCAGAAAATTAATAATTTAAATAAAAATATAATATAAATTATTTTGTTTTTGTATTACTTTAAATAATGGTATTCCAGAAATTGCTCTATAAAATGCTTTATCTAATATACCATCATGAAATTTGTCCAGTATTAAATTTAAGCAGGTAGCTGTATCTTTCCATTTATGCGTTATATCTACAGCTAAATTTTCGAATTCAGAACTCCATTTTATCTCTTTATAAGAACTTTGAAACAATTATAAATGTAAAATTGATTTAATATTCATCATAAAATAAAATAACTATGGACAATACATTTTAGACATACTTAAATTTATTTGTATTTGCTGAAGATGTAGCTGAGATGTATACTATGAAAATTATGAAGTATTTAATAAAAATATAAAATATGTAAGTATTCATATTGTTTTAATTTATAGTCAATATTAGATAGGTACAGCTTAAGTTTTTATTTAAATAAAACTTTATATTTTATTTTTCATTAAAAAAATTCATTTGACGAAAATAACTATAATCACTAGGTGACATGGAATTTATGCTTCTGTGCGATTTGAAAGTATTATAAATACTGTAACCAAAATGCGTTACAATCCAAACAAATAACTAACAAATAATTGAATATAAAATTAGATTGAACTAC